ATTTCACTCCAGGACCAGGATGTTCATTACCCAAGTTCAAACTGTATGAAAAATTACTGTGGGAAAATCATTCACAATTGATTTATGGCCAAACTGAGGGAAGTGGAAGTGCCATGGCCAATCCACTGCCTTCAAAATATTTTCCAATCTTGCACCCACACTAAAAGCTTTGCATGAAGCTGCTTCTATCATTTGAGTACCCAAACACAAGGCATTTACCCAGCACATCCCATTAATCATTCCAGCCACCTAGAAATGAGAGCTGCAGTAAAATGGAGAAAGGGGAAAAATGAATAATTTAGTACTTGATCTCTATCTGGAAAAATATACCATTCTAAAATAAACACTTCTCTCTTTACAAGTCTGAGAGAGTCCTTAACAATATTTATATTTAAAAATCTAACCAATTTATTCATGTTTCTTTAAGGAAAAAAAAAAGAAAAATCTTTCTGTCAGAGGAAAGACTCAGGCTTCAGAAATTTTGTTCATCTTATTTTATAAAAATATTTAATTTCTTGAGAACTGTTCGGAGCCAGCTTAACAAAGGGACAGCTTCATAGGACAGATCTTTTTGGAGATCAGCTGTTCAATGTCTCTATATACTTCAAATCGATACAAAGGGCATATGGGTGTTTAGGTTAATATCTGTGCTCCAAGAAGTGCAAAAATATCTAAGGCCATGCATTAGCTTCTATGCTCACCAGCAAGTTTATCATTGACAGACGCGTTACTTCGGAGCTGCCTCATGCCTCTAGGAAAATTTACTTCATGCACTGCTATGGCACAAAGAACGTGTGAACCCAGAGCAGCAGCAGAATATTTGGGAAAGTGAAAGGAAGCTAAAAACGATGACTCTGCTTCAAGGAAGAATCTCTCAAAGCAAGAATCAACCTTCTGACACTGTGAAGGGAACTGGGACCGACTGGGAAAGAGCCATCTGTGTACAACCCTGAAAGAAGGAAGTCATGAAAGCCACTGGGAAAAAATAAGCTGTATTATTCTTATTTGCATCCTATTGAACAATCCCCTACTACCTTTCACTATAAATTCATTTGTGCATGCACACAAATACCCACCCACACACATTTGTTTCACATACACCTGAGTAAGTGGCTTTAGGCCACTGTTTTTTTCCAAAGCACACAAACTAGAATTATGAGATATTACATATTTAAAAAGATATTTTAAAGTTGCACAGCACCTGAATGACACTAACAACACAAGCACTAGATATCTCTATCAAAGGCTTTTTATTTTGTAAATGAGCACAGTACACTGTATTAATAACTTCCCTTACAGAATGTAAACAGGATTTCAGAAGAGGAATTAATCAGGAAAAATTCAAGTAACAGTTTGAAAACTGGAGCACGAAGTAACTAAGTAACAAACCCTCTGAAGAGGCACATTTGTTGGGAGTTAGGCTTTTGTAGGACTGCAGCTGTCACCTATCCTTTACCCCTCTTAAAACCTTAAAGTTGAGTTTATGACATGAAGACTGAACTGTTAACATCACCTCCCAAATTAGTCATAACTAGTATCTTTTTGAACCCCTGTGAGGTTTCATCCTTAACCCCTGTGGGCCTATGCTATGGGATGAGAAGAGACTAAGTTCCTGACCTCTGATCTCCAACATAAGCAGTATCCTTCATACTTGTATCACTTCTCCTCTTCTCGATCTCCTAAGGCTGAATTTTTGGTCCCTTTTCTGGCAGGAGTTTTACCAGGCTCTTGAATGTTCTTGTCACCCTTTTTCCAATCCCCCTATTTCAGTCACATCCTTTTTTAACTCAGGAGGCCTAAATTGTGCACCGTGTTCTAGCTGAGACCACAGGCATAGCTTTAAACAAAAAGCTGTACAATGCCCTCCCAGTTATTTAATTTCTTAGGAGTCTTGAATGATGTGCAACCTAATATCACAGTTGGGTTTTGACTGTGGTTGTAATTTGAGCAAGTGTCCCCACTGATCTCTCATATTTGTCTCTTCTGGATCTGTCACGACTGACTGTTGACACTCAGTCTTACTTTCCGTATTCACCACTGATCTTTGTCCAGCACTGTTCTGCCCACTTGGTGGAAAACTTCAGAATTAATAGTTCTTACTCCTCTGAACAGACCCTATAAGTATTTCCATGACAGATTTTGCAACATGATGGCTCCAGCCCACTCTCAGTAAATGGATTAACAACAGATTTGCAGATGTCAAAAGCCCAAATTTGGCCTCTTCCTACTCCAACAGATTAGCCTAACCCTCTGCTTTTCCACTCTTCCCCAGCTTTCAGCCATAACAGCATTTTGTCTGTTGCTCCACAAAACTAGAGTTTCTGTAATGTTTTGTCCAGAGCTCTGTCACTCACAGCATTTTGTTTCCAATTATCCATGACTTTTCCAATATATTTTCCATGTTAGAAGATCACTGAAACATTGCCTTTTATTGAAGGGGAAAAAAAAAAAAAAAAAGCTGGTGGACTACATCATGCCTCTCTGGTACTTTACTATTGTTTTTAAATGAGGATTTCAAGTTGGTTGCCAAGTCCAGATGTAAAATGTTACTTAAATATATCACTGAATTTACTAACTATGCCTGTAACTGATTCACAGCTGAAGCTCTGTTTCCAGCAAAGAGACGAAGGCTTCAGATCACTGCTAAACCCAGCCACAAATCAAAGTCCTCTGGCATATGGGACCAATTGGTCTAGCAGAGGTTTGCTGCTGGAGCACTCTGCTTGAGTCACAGCCATTAGCCAAATCATTTCTTCTCACAGGGCTTTGTTATCTTCAATATTGCACTGGTCTCTTTTGCAGATTTGCCGTGCAGCCATGCAGACTCACTGGTGTTTCTGTATTATTTCTGGGAACCAGAACGTGGCCTACTATTCTAGAAGTCCTCCAAGGGCTGCTCTTGCCTCAAAGCCCTTCGGAATTTTATTTCCAGCTTCAAAGGTTCATCTGCCATGCAGGAATTCAAGATTTTGATATGGGATGCAAATCGGCAATCCAGGTAGGACAGGAAAAATTAGCAGGACACAGTGTCTTCCATGATCTCTGCTGCAGCAAAGACACAGCTCTATCAAGGAGGTTTTTTTGATCCTTCTACTCTAAGAAAAGATCAGGCAGGTGCTCTGTATCTTTGTGAATGAATGCTGCGAAAGAACGAGCCAGAAGAATCCCACTGACTCAACCAGCATTTTGGAAAATAGAGAAGAAGAAAGAAAACCTAGTGTATATGAAATGGTCCAACTTCACTTTCATGATCTTAGATGGAGAGATGAAGACTACTGAAACCATACCAGAGGCCAATATGACAGCAGGGCTATTGTAAATGATAGCTGTAATAAAAAATGCAATAAAATTACAAGGATGCGCTGGTGTTATTACACTTTAGAAATTAAATTCCAGCACTGAAAAACTCACAGGAATAGACATATTCTGAAATCTTTCAGCCTTCACAATGACAGCATTGCCTCCTCGGGGCTCAATCCTGCGTTTCTTGAAATTGGAGTCTGTCTCCCTTCCAGTTTCAGCAGCTGCAAGACTAGGACCCTGGCATCTTTGTCCCACGAGGGAATCCACGCAGGTCAGTGTGAAGAAACTGCAGCCTCTCTCCCCTGGATCCCTGTCCTACACCTTGTTTATTCAGGAGTTTGCAACATTATCCAATGTCTCATTACTGAACCAAATGCCACCACACTCACTGAAACTCGGCCCAAAAGTAGACACTTCTTGTTCATTTGCCCCAAAGTACACAGCACACAGAGCAAAAACACAAGAACAACAGCAAACCCTATGTGTTTTCTTCCTCTTCTCCATGACAGCTGCATTTCATCAAGTCATCCACCCTAGAATCATCCTCTCTGGGTTGGGAATATAGCTCTGTTCCCAGCATGCTCCCCATTTGCCTGTCAGTTTACCGTGATGGGTGCTGAGTAACCCTCCTTCTTCCTTACATCAGCGTCTTTAAAGCTTTAATATTCTGTTTGATTTGTTCGAGGCTGTGGGAAGAGCAAGCAATTTTCCATCTGGCTTATTAGCTAGGCAGGGAATACCCCCCAATAAATACATTCTGTAGCATTACCTTTAGACCTCTTATCCATGACATTGTTCTGCCTTTTTTTTTTCTTTTTTAAGACTTTTTTGCTTAACTTTACTCATTCAGGCAAGTAGATATAATGCAAATACCCTGAGAGTCAATGTTATTTATAACTTTACTGCACATAACACCCTCATTCTCCCCACCACTCTTTCACTCTATAAAAATATACAAAACAGGCACTCCAGAAAAGGAAATCCAGGCATCCAGTGTTAAAACTGAACAGCTAAGAACTTATCAACAGCAAATATAACTTCACCTCCTTGTGAATAATGCCTTGCTATTTAGTCTGGTTCCCAGAGGATAAACCACGCTGCAAATACTACGCTGTGGTATCAGCTTTTCTCTACAATCTTTAATACAAGTCCAGAAGATTATGTAAGTGGAGGCCAAAGAACCTATTTAATGGATTGAAAGGAAACAAATGTGTTTGCAAACTAAGAGTTTTATAAAAAAAGTATACAAATCAGAATGAAAATGCTGAAGCATAGACAGTGTAATGTGAAAAAAAATGACATATACTTCAAAAAGCAGGATGTCACTGCACATGAAAGGAAAGACAACAAGTAATTACTTTAGCTGAACAGCTTTGCCCAGCTTTCTGCCCAGACCTTGTGATCAGAGAAGGTTTTCATCAATTGTCTGCAGTTTCTTTGGTGGTACTGATAGAGGGGTAAGTGTCACTTACTTAAAATAGAAACATCTAATACTTGAGTCTCCTGCTCATCACAGATGAGGTATATCTCTGTTTAATAACACGGGGTTCACCTTTGTGCAGACTTACAATATCTTCAGAGCACTTGGCCAAAAGTCCCAACCAGCCTGCCACCAGGTTGAGAAGTGAAAAGGCACTCATCTGCTTGTTTTGTGCTGTCTTATGAAGAAAATCTTTAGAAGAATTTTACAGGGAAGCTTTCAGAGAAAATAAAAATATTTATTTTTTCCTCTGCTGAGGATTTCTAGGTTCACACTGACATTTAACTGAGCAGTTACTTAGCATGCTGTACACCACATTTCACTTAAAACAACAGCGGACACAGTAAAAGTTCCCCTTTTCCCCAGAAGGTGACAATCATGTATATTTTTCATAAAAAGTTACAATTTTTCAAGTTTTCTTTTTTCCTCTTTTTTTTAAAGGCTCAAATGAGAGAAAATATGTTTGAAAGGAAGGATCTATTGTGAGAGTGACATTGAGTCTGGAGGTACAAAACTGGTTTCTATAATACATGAAATACCCTACCATGGTCAAACAGACACACACAATAACATTTATATGTGCAAAGGATCCACAACCATAGGTCTGCCACCTCCTTTAGGAGTTGCTTCAGCAGCAGATTTTGTAATCACTATCAGGCACCTGTAAGACAAAAGAATAAGGAACATGTGTCAGCACTTCTCCCATCCACAGCTAGTTGCTCAATAGAATTTTTTAGAATCTTTAACGTCAAGGGTGACTAATTCATCTTCCTGTCCTGCATCACTCTGTGATCAGCAAATGAATGATATCTGATTTTTCTATTATGTAGGTGTAGGGCAGGGACAGTAGGGCTATCCATGAAGACACCCATCAGTACCCAAACCTATAAAAGTTTGAGGAAGTGAAGCAGCATTGCACCTGTTGCTCACATTCAGCAAGACCACCCTCCATGTGACGCACAAAATGGTGCAGAGGTACCGAAAGGACGCAGCATTATGGTTTATGTTACTGATATCGTTATCAGCACGCTGGGGAAAGGTAAGACAGGGAACGTGCATTTGTAATACACCACCCAGTTCATCAACAGGAGCAGTGAAACCTTTTAAACACAAACAACAGCAAAAACAATTTAGGAAACTCCTTCAGTTCGGAGGTACCTGGGGTGAGCACATGAACTGGCATACAAGCTGCCTGGAGGCCCTGGAGAGCAGTTGCTGAATTAGTGAGGATTGGAACAACTAATTGGTGATTGTTTATCAAATAATACACTAGCAATTCTGCTGTACTCTAAGGAGGAGGGAAGAATAAAGCCATTTCAGGTGCTACCACTGTGAACTTAGCATATTTCTGAGATATGTAAGACGCATTCTTCAAATCTTTTAAGTGTCCATATGCAGACTAGACAGAGGCTGGCAGGAGGCACATTTATAAGTGCATTTATTTCAAATGTCTCTGCTAGTTCAAAGGACTCAAACATAAACAGTTGTCTAAAAAATAGACGTGTTTTGGAGAGGAGAAGGAGGAGAATTTATCACTTCTGAGCTGGGAGGAAGGGATGGCAAATATGGTGATAATTAATATAAAACCTTCTCCTTCCTTGCCACCCCATTGTCCCCAAACATACGAAATCAAGAGTCTACTTTTCTATGCTCTCTCAATACACTTGGCACGTACCTCCTTCCCTCTCCCCCTCACACTCCCTCTCTCTCCATAAAGGGGCATGAAATGAGAAATTTTAGCAAGGTTTCTTTACAGAAGAGAGGCTTGGCTTCAAGCCCAGTATACAGATGTGGGAGGGAGTCTTCAAAGAGAGACTCCCTCAGCACTGCCCAAGAAAGTGGTACTTCTCCCGGTCCAGAAGCAAGGCTTTCTGGGACTCACTGTCTCAAGCCCCATCAGTACTACCTAGTCCCTCAGAGACAATAAATGCCCAAGAAGGTAAAAACATCTGCTTGAATTTTGAAGCTGTCTTGAATTCTTCTCAGCTTGAACTTTAGGAAAAAAATGACCACATGTTGAGAGGAATGGTTAAAAAATAAACCAACCAAAAAGCAACTGCTAAAAAACTTGTGGCATCACCGGATTTGGTATTTCTTCTTTATATGGTGTGTTCAGTTGTATGAATTAGTCAATTTATACTAAAGATTATTTGTTGTCTTTAGCTTGAGATAGAGTATTTCTTTTCATCAAGTCCTTATAGACCCTTGTGATGGTGTATTGATACAGTTATACAAGCATAGACAATTTACACTTGCAAAAAAGCCTTTTGCAGGTACAGTTTTACAACATTTCTGTGAGCAAGTTAAGTTGTCCTTTCTTTTTTCCCTGATCTAATTTCATACATACTAGGACTTTTGCTAGCATAGCAATGACGACAAAAATATAATAAATATATAAAATAGAATAAATATAATAAATCCCTTTCTGATGCAGCTATGCCAGCAACACTAAAGCCTTCATCTCAATGAGGTTGAACTATTTCATATTTCAGCAACATTTATATTGTAAGCTTTCCCCCTCATAGCACAGCGCATCCTCCCCAACTGCCTGCTTTTTTTTTCTTTCCTGCTTCTGGTAACTGTGGATCTGCTAACCATGGATCTGCTAGACAACATTTACAGTATCAAGTATGCAACTGTATGCTCACTTAAGACCACTTAAAAGGAGTTTATTTTATATTGTTTAATAAGATTTCCCTCCACTGTGCAGACAGACATTCCACAATTTCTGATGGACCCTCAGCCCCAGCTTGCAGCCAACTCTAACCCGTTTCTTGGTATTGTGGTGGTAAATGCTGTCCCATATGTTTGAAATGTATGTGTGCTTCAGTTGTGTCTCCATACCGCTTTAAAACGTACAACATAAATCAAATGCATCTATCTTCCTCAGCCACATTCCTACTTTGAACATATCAGGAGGTAAACAAGGCAGCCAGCTCCTAACTGGTTCTTTTTTCTGTAAATAAGTGAGAATTTCTTACCATGCCCAATGAAATCCAGAACGCTTCAGTGCAGATGCCTGAAAAAAAGAGAAGAGTGTTTAAAAGACAGTTTTTTGCTCAGTGAAAGTCTAACTCCAAAAAAAACTATTGCCAGCATAATTCTATAGGTTGAGTTAAATAAATAAATACTTATCTGATTAATTGTTGCCTGGAATCCATTTGTGCTTGTATCTCTTGAGTTAGAGGCCATATTAAAAAAAGTGCATAGGTGATTTGAAATCTGAGGACAACCTAAAGCTTGATTCTAAGAAGGCTCAATGCACCAGTACTTTCCCATGGCGTGGGTGAGACAGGTTTAGTCATCAGGTGTGACAGGGAGCAGTCTGTTACAATCCAACAATACATGGAGAGCCAACTAGAAAGCAACGTATTTAGCACATACACTGCACATATTACAATACCCTCAAAGAAAAGAAAATCAGGTTTTTCAGTACACAGGTTTTATTCAGGTCAGCTGCATTTCAGTCTCACTGAAAAGCTACAGCAAGTGCCTGGATAGAAAGATGTTCACAATTTGGAGATTTTGCCAGACACCAACCTCATTGTTATTTACATGTGGGTGACACACTAACATACTATTTATAGAGCTATTAAGACAAAAAGACCTTCCAAAGTTATTGAAATATCTTTGCAAATTAGGACTTTACCTAGTACCTGATTTTGTCCACCTCGGCCCTTCCTTTTTTAAAATTGTTCTGCCTCTCACTTCTGCAAGGACACTCAGTGAAATCCTTCCACAAAAGCTCAAATTGATTTTTAAGGGTTAGATCTTGTTCCTCATGTGTTTAAAGAATACCCTGGCACAGAGTGGGTGTAATTACACAGGGAGAGCCAGATGGGATCAGCTCAGAGACTGAGGAAGTCGAGCATCCTATCCTATCACACTCACAACTTATATTTTTTCCTCCTCAGGCAAGTGCAAACAGCCTCAGCTCCTCCCCCAGTCCCAGTCTCCCAACCTCTGGGCATCCCCAGCTCTCAGCAATCTCTGGTGAGGAGATTACCTGAACCAGAACTGGATCTCTGTGTACAATAGCCCCCAGGAGACTTTTCTATAAGGGGTATGTCCAAACACCACTGTTGGCATGGGAACTTTTGGCATCTGCAATATTCCAGGGCAATTTCACAGCTCTAGGAAGTCCTTTTCGCTAGTTTTAAAACTGTCACCTAACCATTCACTTGAGGATGCTTGACTCCCATGGTATGGGAGAGTGAATGGACATTTTCTATTTGCTTTCTGTGTTGCACTTGAGAGTTCATAGACCTTTTTTTCTTCCTGCTTAGATAGATCCCCAAGTGTTGCTTTCCATATGGGAGTCACTCCACATTTTTATCACCATTTTCTGTATAGTCTCCTCTTCTCCTGCATCCTTTTTGAAATGAGGGAGCAAGGATGCAATATTCAAGCATGCAAATATTCAAGGATGCAATATTCATTTATACTGTAGCATAAAGACCTTTCTTTTGGTTCACAGTTCCTTTACCAATGAGTCCTAGTATTCAATTCTATTTTTTTCTTTTCCTTATTCCTACTGCATGTTCAGCAGATGTTTTTATACAATTATTATAAACCAAGGTTTCTTTCCAAATGATAATTTAGATTTCATCACTGTGTATTTCAATTTAGGATTGTTTATGCTCCTCTGCACTATTTTATATTTACTAACATTGATTTTTAACTGCCAGATCATCCTTCTGTCACTCTCTATTGTGAGACTCTTCTGCAGTCCCCTAGTATATCCTCACCTCAGCTATCCTCCCTGATTTGGTGTCATCAGGAGGTTTCTGTCTCATTCTGCACCTCTTTCAGGACTATGCTGTACAGCACCAGACTCAACAGCATGACGTCACTGGTCTTTCTATCCCTTCTCTAAAAGCTGGCCACTTTTCCCTTAACCTTTATTTCTTACACTGAAAATATTATCAGTTGACTTAAGGACTTTACCCCTTATCCATGGCAGCTTCATTTCACAGAAAGTTTTTGAAGAGGTTTAAATAACAAAAACAAACAAACAAACAAACAAACTGAAAAAACTTAGATTTTTTTTATGTGATTAGAACAATAGCACAAACATTCTGAAGCTCAAAAATCTCTGCTACTGTTCAATCCTTCTTTAAAGCAACTTCAGTCCTTCATACACCAAGTTTTTAGCTTCTTCTTAAAATGACAGCACATATTATCTACACCCTGGAATAGCTTCTCCCCAGCCACAGGAGTTACCCCCTCTGTGGGTAATGTGTCCTTTGCCTTGAAGAGAGCTTTTCTCAATGTGCTTTCTTGAATCGCAGTGAACTGCTAACAAGAGAGCCTGTTCCAGACCCAGTTATGGGCTGCAAGTGTCCCATTCCTTTCAGGAGCACTAAGCCAAGGTATGTAGGAGAAGACATCAGTTCTGGAGATTTTTTTTTCCGTAGAGGTCATCTGGAAAGCCTTTTTTTCCTGTTCTTTCTTATTTTAGAAAAGCTGTAGCTCTTCTCTCCCATTCTCAGCCTCCTTGTACACATGCATAGGTTGAACAATGGTGCATGTTCCATGTTTATACAAACCCTCTGGTTCTGAATGTCATTCAAACAACACAATGCCACATACGGTTTCCCAGTGTTCAAGAGCAGTTCAGAAGTCCCAATTTAGACTCTGAGGCCCACCAAATAAAAAGGAATGTGATGCATATGTTCCCAGACCTAGCTCGGTAAATGTAGGGTACGGGAAGATAAAAACATCAACCTTGGTTACTTAATTTTACAGTAGATGAATAAGTATAATTTTCTAAATAAAAACAGTTGGCTCAAATATAATGCCAATAAGCCTTCAGGGAATAGAGTCGGTGAGTACCACTGAGAATAATAAAGGAGGTGATTTTTACTGTGTGCATACACTTTAAGAACAAAAACCCAGTAAGGGAATTTTAATTCTAATGATTTGGATAAAGCTGGCTACCCTGAATCAGCAAACAAAGCACAACGGGTATGGCGAAGTACAAAACCAAAAGAATTGCAAGTTTCAGACAGCAATCCAACCTCAGCCAAGCACAACTCCAGGGCCACCAGGACAACACATGGGGTGCATGCAGTGCTACGACATACAGTTCTTTAGGAGCAGGACCTCCACCATGTTAAGTACGGACCCATGGCACACACCAACCCTGACATGGCTGGATGGTATTATTCTGATTCTGCCCTCTCCAGCAGAGCTCTGCCCATTGCAAACTTAGAACACAGAATTAGCTGTTAATTTCTCTTGCCAGGAGAATATTCCAGAGACTGGTCAACACTACAGTTAAAGGATGCACTTAGTCATTACATAGACCCTCCAGATTTCACCAAGGTAACCAGTGAAAACCCCAATCCACTCTTTTCAAGGACATAAACACTGTGAGAAGAGAGCAGTCAGCCCCTGCAGCCTATCCAGGACTGCACCTCCTGCAGCACACATTGCTTCCCTAGGACATAGTGCAGCAGGGAGCAGGGAGCGGATTCAGCCCAGCTCATTCACCATTTAAAAATTAATAGCAAATGCAGCCTTTCTAGCTGCAGATAAGTCACCCCAGAGACCTCTGAAAACTAATGTCAGCCCTCCCACTTCTGTTCCTTTTACAGCGTTAATCTTAAGGTTCATCCACACACCAGTAAATGCTTAAAGTAGCCTGCTAACTCTACAAAAGGACTGATTTTCACTCAGATCACATACACAGAAAGGTAAATGCAACATACTGATACACACGTTCTGCCATCAAAGACTGACTTAAGAGTATAAAATTTTTAATATCACATTCTTATTTAGTGACGCCTGCCTTAGTAGGCATATGTAACCTAATACTGTATTTTACTGATATTGCAGATGGTATAACCAATCTCCTAAACTTTCTACACTCTCAAAGGATTAGTATGATGTGTAGAGCAGTTTTAGCTTACAAAGCACTACTTTAGTGTATAGGGTTATTGATTTAACTTAGAAATTCTGCTATACCATGTAGTTTTCCTGATTTACCTTTTACAATAGTGTAAGGATATTTTTTTTTCCCCAAAAAACTTTTACACACTTCATTATCCAATACAAAATACTGCTCCTGGTAGGATTCAGGGTAGGCATTCAGTAATCAAAATTATGGATTTTTTGAAAAATTTTCTGCGTTGTAGGGCTCCTCCCACATTTCTCATATCTTTTTTCCTAAATAAACCTGGCATACCCCCTAAACTTTCCAGAAATTTATCAAAGAAACGCTCACAATTATATATCAGTGTACTCTCTCCCTGCTTCCAGCCTCAAGCCTTTAAGCCAGATCTGGTTTGATATAGGGCAGATACTGATACAGAGGGAAATATTTGGAATATTTCCCAAATGTACTGATACATTTGCCTTTTTCTCAGCCATAGTAGTCACTCAAGCCTCTAGTCATCTCTCCTTTTGAAGGCTGCAGGAATCTCTTTTGTGCCATCCCCACTCCTAGCTCACAGTTCCAGCACGTATGGAAAGCTGCAGCTAAATAGTGCATCCAAATGACAGCAATAAGATAATCCTGTGGGACTGCTAAAAGCTTATTTTGAAAGTGCATTTTAAAAAAAACCCCAAACCCCAGAACCACTGCCAATGACATTCTCCTCTAGCTTCATGAGCAACTGTCTCTGCAGACATACAACTCTATCTCCTACTTTCTGCCCTGCACCACACCTTTTTAGTCACTGTTCATGCAAGTATGGGCTCTTCTGTTAACGATTCTATATGTTTAAATCCTCCTTTATTCTGCTATGTTAATCAGTCACACACCCCCACCAGTTCTATCTTTAATTTCTCTGTGATATTGACAGTGCTTCAATTTTACCATGTGATGACTTCACCTGGCACAAACTGCTATCAAAAAAGAAGCCTAGAGTCTAATGTCAATACCTATACTTTTCCCCTTTATTTCTTTGCAGATGTAGAATTACACAGATACTTAAATATGTCAAAAGGCTCACCTAGTCTTGAAGTATATCAACTCACTGTATTTTTGTACATTCAGTCTTTAACTGTTTTAAT